AGCAAAGTCAAAAATACTCGATGAAAATTTAGACAAACAAAGTCAAAATACTCACGTTTAAGTAAACATCTTAGCTTGGCAAAAGTCAAAGGCTTGAAGGAGGGTTTGGATTGTTCAGAATAATCTTCACATTGCCGAAACTTAAACAAAAGGAACTTGCACTAATCTCGACGGAAATTTTGCAGCTAAATTGAAACGGCGCACGTCATTTTATTGAGCACGGCCGTGCGTACATAAATTGTTTTACCACGATGGCTCAATAGGAATTAGATAGGAGCAGCGCGCGCACTATGTTATAAAGAGTGTTTATGTCTCGGAACTATCGGCCTGATAGTTTCCCCTTGGAAATTTGATGTTCTTAAAATTAGCATATTTGCCCTGGAAGCTTCGCTTCTCGGGCAAATATTTGTTTTAAGAAGATCAAATTATCGCAGGGCAACTATCAGCCGATAGTGCCTCGACAGAAACACTCCATTGTTTAAACAGACTGTACTGGGAGCTGGTCAATCGCTGGTCAGTTAGATCAAAATTCCCTCTTGTCTATGTAGCTTACGAGACTTTCCCATCACTTATTTTGTAGTTGCTCCAGAATCAAACTTCCCTCATTCTCACGTTAGGCTCGATTACCAGCCGCTGTTCGGGAAGGGAGCCCGCGCTCCTCCCCTGAAGGCTCTTCTCGGGGAGGAACGTAGACCGGACTCGACTAAGCGGCGGAAATCCGGCGTAATCTGACTTGAGCTTTTTTAAAATGGCAATCTTTGTTACTTCCTCTACCAGGTACTGGGTTGGTATTGTTTCTGCAATACACGGCTCGGACTCACACGACGCAGTGAAATCCTGGGTCGACAACATTGACAAGAGATTGTCCAAATATGGAATCTTCCCACAAGGCAGAGAGGCAGAAAAAGAACAGGAGAGACTCAAGGAGTTGAAACTGAAGTACGATCCTGAAAACATTTTCCATCAAAACATTAATATCGATACTAAAAAGGGTTAGGAAACTTTGTTTTATCGTTAGTTTTTAATGTATTGTTGTTCAGTGGTATTCACGACCCCACAAGCTTTGTAGCTTTAACTCTTATCGTGTCGAAATAAAGGTTTTATGTTATGTTATGTGATGCAGTCTGGTGAAACTACACGCAGCATTGTTAGATACCGGCCATTGTGTTTTCGGAATACGTTCTCAAGCGTTCATGCAAGTTCCATGTTTGTTGAGTTTGTTGTCCGCTGTATAACTTGCGAGGCTAAAAGCTCCTTGCCTTGTCGTGACAGTTTGCATTTTGTGGTTTGTATTGGCAACTTGAAACACACTGTAACGTATTTTTTTAATTTAAACAAGAAACGGTAAAAAGTAATAGTTTTTCGTTCCTGGCTCCTCGGCAACTCTGTGTAAGAAGTGTCACAGAATTCCGCAATAAAATTTCAAAACACGACAACCGACTTATTTTGATCCAAGAATTCTTGAGAATTTCAAAGATCCTGTTATTTTGACCCAACTTAACTGATACCCTATTGTCCATGACATGCAAATGACGATAACAGCGATAACGACGGCGCGCGCAGTACAAATATCCAAATATGGTCAAACTAGAACAGAATCCAGGTTATTCCCCGCGACCTGCAGTCGTCATCTGACGTTCCCATCCTGTTGCTATAGCCTATAGCCTATAGGCTGATTTAGCAACAGGACGAGAACGTCAGATGACGACTGCAGGGCGCGCGGAATAACCTGGATTCTGTTCTAATTTGA